AGGGTTGGCTTGTTATGCTGCTATGCTTACACTACTGAGGACAAATCGACCTCACCTCCTTAAATGAATTATTAAAATTGAAAAGTTTTCATTTGATACTATTTCTATCTTAACATGTGCTTATCAACCTGCCATTGTGTATCCGTTCCTCCTTCCTGTTCCTCTCAAACCCAACCAGTCGAAGCAGATGGCCGCTTGTCCTGAACCTGGTTCTGCTAAAGGTTTCTTCCTCATGAGGGAGTTTTTCCTTTCCACTGTCGCCTTCGTGCTTGCTCAAGATGAGAGTTCTGTGATGGAGTTAAACTCAAAGCAGTCTACTCCTCAGATAAATAAAGTTAAATTGTTATTTTTATATATGAATGTTTCTGTTCAGTGCTCTGATGACTTCTGTTGTGACTTGGCGCTATATAAACAAACTGAATTGAATTGAAAATTGAACTGATTAGTAACTATGATCATGATTAATCTTGATTAGTGCTGAAGAAAAAAACAGTTAGAACAAAGAAGTTTCAAAATAAAACAGGAAGTGAGGCTGGCGAATATGGTGACAAAACAAACGTGAAGGAAACCAAATCATAAACTCAAGAATTCAGAGAACAACAAATGCAAATGACATGTTATATAATTGTAATAAATCACATTTTATTGGAATAATATTATTTGTTTAAAAAAAAAAAAACCTCAGTAGGTATTGCTGATAAAAAGTTAGGTTTGTTGCCATCAGTTTTTAAAATGTATAAACATTGTGTTACAATTAAAGAAGTCACTTAGTTGCTCCCTGCAAGTGGAAATTGTGAAAGAAAAACTCCAACATAAGTCAAGAGAATCATCTAGGAAATTTAGACAACAGTTTTTGAAAAGGCTATTTTATTGAAGTTTATGTTCATACGGATGTATGTGTTTCTCTTAAAGCCCTTCTTCTGACCAAACAACCAAAACTTCACAGATGTTCATTATGATGAAAGCAGGAGACCACAACAAAAAAAATAATGTTTTCATACTTTAAAATTGCCGTCCCTTTGAAAAAAATATAGTAACACTACAAAATGATTCACTACAAAACATAAAGACCACAAACTAAAAAAAAACATGCTACTTAGTTGACCATTAAGAACTTTACCTCAAGACCGATGATGGTTCCTGTATTATGGTGCATTTTATCCACAAGCTCCTCATTAAAACTTTAGTTTGAGACAAGCTTCTCTTCGAGTCCATGTGACCCCAACACATCTGACAATATAGCAGGGGCCTCTCTTGCCCCGGCTGCTGTGTATTGGGGTTATGTGCTTTGGTCCAAATGTCCCTGTGGCCAGCGAGGACAACCCAGCCGTCACTCTCAATTACAGAGCTGAATATCTGCAGCCCAATAAATGATGCTCTGCAGAGGGGCCTGCAGAGTGTTCTGACTAAAGGCTGGTATGTGTAGACGAGTTTGAACTGGTTAGAGGAGACATAATCACACAACTGCATCCCAAAGCAAGAACTGACTTCACTTTAACAAACTGATGCTTTCTTTATTACACCCCCTCTAGAAAAAAAATAGATTTTGTGCTGACTGAGTTGCGGTGGCTGCGATGAGTCATGATTAGTTGGTCAAAAAACCTTTAACCCTTGTGTTATGTTAAGGGTCAATTTGACCCGTTTCAATTTTTGTGTTGATCAAAGTGCAGGTTATCCTTTCTTTTTTTCCATGAAATGTTGTGACTTTTTCTCCTCTAGGGTCATGAACTTCTATGTAAAATCTGGACTCTTTGATGTGTTGTTAAATGTCTGCACACAGTTTGTATACAAAGATGATGTTGCGGGTCATTTTGACCCGCACACAGAGTAGCTGTTAAAAATCCAAAAAAAAAGTCTTTGATGTACTTCATTTTGATTGCCTCTGAATAAACATTCAGAACCAGGTGTGTGTGGAAGAGGGACTTTCTCTCCCCTGTCCTTGTCACTGTTTCCATGCCCGTTCTTGGAGAAACACCAAAAATGAGCTCCAGACGATTTACAGCTGAAGAAGCTTTTTCGCAGCTTATGAACTGGGATAGTGATGTAGAGGAAGAGGTTTCAGAGACAGAGGATCCTTCAGAGCCAGAGGACAATGCCATTGATGATCCAGATTTTCAATTTTCCCATGATGAGGAGGATTCAGAGGACGAGTCTGCAGGTGTCCCTTCTTCAGATGAAAACCAAGAAATGCAACAATCGTCATCCACAGAGGGGACATGGACATCTAAAGATGGTAAAATAAAATGGTCAACATCACCACACCAAAGCCAAGGTAGATTGTCATCTTGTAATGTCATCAAAATGATTCCTGGTCCTACAAGATTTGCTGTCACAAGAGTTGATGATATTGAATCAGCATTTCAGCTCTTCATATCCCCACCCATAGAGAAGATAATCCTCAACATGACCAACTTGGAGGGGAAGCGTGTCTTTCAAGAGAAATGGAAGCCACTGGATCCGACTGACTTGCATGCTTACATTGGAATCCTGGTGTTAGCTGGCGTATACAGGTCAAAGGGTGAAGCAACTGCAAGTTTATGGAATGAAGAGAATGGAAGGCCAATCTTCCGAGCAACAATGTCTTTGGAGACATTTCACATGATCTCTCGTGTGATCCGATTTGACAACCGTGACACCAGAGCTGATCGACGTGAGAGAGACAAACTTGCAGCAATCAGAGATGTCTGGAATAAATGGGTCGAAATCCTGCCTTTATTGTATAATCCTGGCCCCCATGTTACTGTCGATGAGCGCCTCGTTCCATTCAGAGGACGCTGTCCATTCCGACAGTATATGCCAAACAAGCCTGCGAAATATGGCATCAAAATGTGGGCAGCCTGTGATGCAAAATCCAGTTATGTTTGGAACCTGCAAGTATATACTGGAAAGCCACCTGGAGGAAGACCTGAGAAGAATCAGGGAATGCGTGTGGTTTTGGAGATGACTGAAGGGCTGCAAGGTCATAACATTACATGTGACAACTTCTTTACATCCTACCGTCTTGGAGATGAACTTCAGAAGAGAAAGCTGACTATGTTGGGAACAGTCAGAAAAAATAAGCCAGAACTTCCCAGTGAGATTCTGAAGATGCAAGGAAGACCTCTGCATTCCTCAAAATTTGCTTTCACAGAGAAAACAACACTTGTTTCTTACTGCCCAAAAAGAAACAAGAATGTTCTTGTGATGAGCACAATGCACAAAGACGCATCTCTGAGCACACGAGAGGACATGAAACCGCAAATGATTCTGGATTACAACTCCACAAAAGGGGGAGTTGACAATCTTGACAAAGTCACAGCAACATATAGTTGTCAGCGCAAGACTGCCCGTTGGCCTTTGGTGGTTTTCTACAACATTTTGGATGTGTCTGCTTACAATGCCTATGTGCTGTGGATTGAGATCAACCAGCAGTGGAATGCCAGCAAACTGTACCGACGTCGACTTTTCCTGGAAGAACTAGGCAAAGCACTCGTCACTCCAAAGATCCAGAACCGGGTCAGGCCAGCTAGATCCCCAGCAGCTGCTGCTGTCATCGCAAAGGTCCAGGGCAGGGCATCTGACCAACCCACAATGGATCCTTTGGATACAGGTACAAAGAAACGCAAAAGATGCCAAGTCTGTCCCTCTCGAGATGACAGTAAAACAACTACCTCTTGTGTGAGATGCAAGAAATACATCTGCAAAAAGCACATAGTCACATTCTGTCCATCATGTGGGGAACGCTGAAAATGTTGACTGTCAAAAACCCGAGAAAATGCGGCAAGTTAAATGCAAAAAAAAAAAAAGGGTTCGTGAAGAGGGAAAAATTGAAATCAGGAGTTCTTTAATATAGTGTTGGAAGTGTATATCTCTACTTCTCATCTCTTCTAAATATTTGTATAATCTAAAATAAAGTTCTTATTGGTTTAACTTCATTTTATGACTGTTTTGAGTGGATTTACACAATGCGGGTCAAAATGACCCGCAACATAATAAACGTATTTTTTTCTCAACATAATACAAGGGTTAATGACTTTCTTATACAGCTACAAAATCTTGTTAGGATTTTGCTAATGGGACATTAAAAGAAGAGTTAAAAATACATTTTAGGGCTTGGACCTGCTTAGCAAAAGCTGTTAGGCTAGTTTAGAAAAGACAAAGCTATTGCGTGTTTAGATTTAACTGGTTAGTGTAAGTGTGCATCTTTTTCAGGTTTTGTATTGTTTGAAAAACATATTATAAGGGTCAATAATATTATAAGGGTCATGTAAATTAGCACTCTCAAATCTTAAATTTGACGTTTGTTCCAAACTGTTTTATTCAAATGCATTTTTCATTTCAGACCATGAATGCACCGGCTGCTTCGAATGTTATCAGCCAATTAAATTACCATTATCAGTTATCATCCCCATAGGTCGTGTTCAGACTGTCCCTCCTGTGCCTCCTAGTAGGTTTAAAGGTACGTTCTTATCACTGATAATATGCAGCTTTGTGCACGTGTAAAAGCAGAAGCTTTTTTGTTTTTAGCTTTATTTAAAACTTTTGTTTACAATTTACCTACCACTTTTAAGCTGGATATGAAGGATTTACTTCAAATGAATTCCAGATTTAACAGTAATACGGCTTTAATTCGCAAAGAAGAACTCACTTAAGAGAGGATCTGAGAGGTTTTTGTTTTATTTGTGTTTGATATGAGTGAAATCCTGATCAATTCATACAGCAAAATATAAAGTACTATAATTATGTTTAGATATAACCTAACCCTAAACTTAACCTAATAAATCTGTGATAACCTACTGAGCCAGCTAGGAGGTAGAGAAGGGAAAGTCTGAAGGAAACCTATGGAGATGATAAAAACTGATAACATCCATTTAATGGGTGATAACATTCGAAGCAGGAAAACACCCTGTAGTTTTTCATAAAAACAATAAACAATTTGTTCAGAATTCTAAACTAAATGGTATCCCTACAGGTGACATGGCTCTTCTTTTTTGTGTGTGTGTTCACTTTTGCCTCTGCAGGTCGGGATATGACCAACACAACCTTACCTGGGTACCCCCCTCACGTTCCCCCCACAGGCCAGGGCAGCTACCCAACCTCTACGCTCGCTGGAATGGTTCCTGGTGAGTCAGATGAATTGATTTTGCTGTTTCATGATGTCAGTGATGATGATTCTTATGTGGCATCACCCTCAAAATGAAGAGAAGCTGAGAAACAGAGTGAAGATATTTTAACAGGAATTTGTGCAAAATGGCAAATAGTGACATGAAGACAAGGAAGTGCACATTTCTCTGTATAAATGTGCATTTAATACTAATTTGAACAAGATAAATCAATAATCAAAGCGGAGAGGACTGCCTTGCTGTGTTCATGTATTATAGTGTACTCATGTAGCTGAAATAAATAGGCTTGAGTTTTTTTTGGTCTAGATTAACACCACTTTTTTTTTTTTTTTTTTTTTTTTTTGTGCTTTATGCTCCAGAAGCATTTTTTGTAGGAGGGGTTTTTATTTTCATTTTTGTTTAAATCAAACCATATGGGTGACAAACAGTGGCAAGTGCATTGTCTTTTCTTTTGTTTAAAGAGCATTTAGCTCATGTTTTTTAAAAGATAGTTCGGATCTTTCAAAGTTTTTTGAAGAAACTCAGGTTGGAGAAATTGAGTTTATTTTTTGGCTCACAAATCCTATCACAGCCATGAACAAAGTGATTTACAGTTATTATAAAACAACTTCAGTCTCAAAAATTTCACAGGAGTTAATACAGACATTTTATAAACTTTACACCTTCATCAATTTTGCATCCCACAGTGTGCCCAAAAAGTGTCCAAAAGCACCCAAAGTGCTATGATAACTGCCGACGATGATAAATCACCAAAAATACAACATTATTTGAAACATAAAACTTGATAAAACTGCATTTGCTTGAGCCGCTATGTCATGTTCGAGATTGAAGAAGTTTTAAAAATGTATAAACGATGGTCCTGGTCCTGCTTTACCTAGAAATGGATTAGGCTTTTAATGTTAGAACTGACCTCTGTTTTTAAACTATCTATTCAAAGATACATTGTTAGGGAATTTTGGTCAAGGTTTATGGATGTTTTTAACTTGTATAGCTGAGAATGTTAACTGCCCATGAACCGTGTGTTAGAGTTAGCGGAGAGTTATTTTCGCTCTCATAGAGAGCTGAATGAGGAGCTGATTTGATACTGCATGAGCAGCTGGCAGTCCAAAGACACCAGTCTGAGTTGGGAGAGCTGATAAGCATATAAAAACAAGCCTCGCACACTGCCTGTGGCAGATTCTCTTGACTGGACTCCATGCGTGTACAGGGCAGCTGTAGCTGAGTGGTTAGAGCAGTCATCCTCCAAAAGCAGTCATCCTCTAAAACCAGTCATCCTCCACTGCAAGAGTTGGGGGTTCGAATCCACCAGCAGTCACATGCCCAAGTGTCCCTGGGCAAGACACTGAACCCCTCATTGCCTCCGATGTGTGTTCCATCGGTGAATGAATGTGATAAAGCTCTGTGTCTCAAATTTGTTCATTTAGCTTTGTAGAGATCTATAGTGCTGTATGAATGGGTAAACGAGGGCACAGATTGTAGTGTAAAACGCTTTGAGTGTCTTGATCAGATAGAAAGGCGCTATGTAAGTGCAGTCCATTTACCATTTACTTTTGTATATCTGTGTGTAACCTGTTGTGAAAATCTGCCCTTGCAAGTAAAACTGGTTAAAAATCTTCTCCTGCCATCGAGTGGTGGGTTTTATTTATTTTTTGTTGTTGTTGTTTGAGAGGATATTTTTATCCAACAGATATCTGGGGGCCGAGATGGTGTAGGGGCAGAGCAGCCGACTCAGGACCCATAGGTCACAGGCTCAATCCCCGGTCATATCCCCGGTCATCGCACATCTCGTGGTGTCTCTGAGCAGGACACCCCGTCCCCAGCTGCTCCCCGGGCACCCCCCATAGCTGCCCACCGCCCCACCCGGTGGCGGATGGGCTAAATGCAGAGAGCAAATTTCATCATTGTATGGGAACATACAATGATGACAATACATAACACATTATTATTTATTATTATTATTATTATTATTATCATTATCTGCAACAGGTAAGATATTAGTTGTTCATAACCTTTTTACCAAACGTCACTTCAAAAGAGCTGAACTTTCACCCAAATTATCTACAGTAATTGTATTTGCTTATGGTTTTTGTAAACATTTCATTATTGAGTGCTGTAGACATTTGAATGCAGTCCTTGAATATATAAATATATTTAATTCAATAAAAAGTCCAGATTACTTTTACAGTTGGGAAAAATGATGTGCTTTACATTGTTCTGTGGGACCAGCAGTCTGTTTAACAGCTAACAGTAAAAACAAAAGCAGACGTGTGAGCCTCCATTGACAGTTTGTCTTTATGTTTGGATTTCGGATAATAAAACTGTTAAATCATGTGCGTGGGGAAAAGAGTCAAGTCAAACCTACTTTTACTTTCCATTTGTTCTTCTGCGGCAAACAAGTAAAAGATGAGCACCCTAATCCCACGCCGTGTGGTTATGTGTTACAACCAGTTCATCCTCTACACCACCACTAAGTTTTAGTGACAGGAGCAAAACACGGTTAAAGCAAAGCCATTTTTCAGCAGGCTCATATAAAATCCAGCCTTTACTGTCTCGTAAAGGCAAGAAACGTGTAAAACCAACAACGGTGTTCGCTGACATGCTCCAAGTTACTTCTGCAATGAAAGTCTTTCGCAAGAAGCACCAAAGGGAGCTTCAGATTGGAAATGTTAAAACTCCCCTAAGAAAGGTGGTGAGATTTATAGCAGCAAATCAAAAGTGTATGCATGAAGCTGTTTATTATCGCTCTGTATTTATTAGACTGCTTTGGAATATGCCAGAGGAAGAAGAATAGGTAGATATCCATAAATGGGACAGGGAAAGCCGCCTTCAGTGTCACATTCTGTATTGTTCAGTGTTGCATAACTTAAGTGAAATGAAAAAGAAATAAATTACTTGCTTGACTGGTTGCACATTGATGACTATCATTCCCCTCCTCAAATTGCATCCAGTTTTGAATGACGAGAGGAGACTGCATGTAAAGTGGTAAGGACTGAAATGCTAATTGATTTGTTGTTTCGCCTTGCAGGGAGTGAGTTTTCGGGGAACCCCTACAGCCATCCGCAGTACACAACCTACAACGAAGCCTGGCGATTCAGCAATCCAGCATTACTAAGTGAGTTAGAACCTTTGTGACTGCAAGTAGTTGACCGAGTGCAAAAATCTATAGCAGAAATCATTCATTTCAGGTTTAGTGTCCTTTTCTTGACTGATTTTGAGAGGTTCATTACTCAAAAAGTGCATTACAAACATTTAAGTTTATACTCATCATTAATCTATTTTTCAGCTAAAGTTAAAAATTAATGCATAATGCAACCCTGTACTTACCAAGGACATTCCAGTTAATGGGTACGCACCTAGTGCTTATCAGGTACCACAAAACAGCCACTTGTTGCCATGTACCTTTGGACTAAATACTTGATAAGTACCCAATGTGTACCTAGTATGTACTGGGTATGCAACAATTAAGTATCAGTTACATTCCAGATACATACCAGGTACATACCTGTTTATGGAGATTGTATTTTGTATCACGTCTTTTTCATTAACCATTGATAAGTTTTCAACTTTTTGCTTATGGCTTTTCCATCCATCCATCCATCCATCCATCCATTATATTTACCCACCTCTTCCTTTCTGGGTCACAGGGGTCACTGGTGCCCATATCCAGCATTCACCATGCGACAGGCAGGGGACACCCTGGACAGGTCACAAGTACATTAGACAGAGACAAACAGTTCAAATTTATAAAAAAAAATGATCATGCCCACATTTTAGAATAGCTTTTAAAATATTTTATTTTACATTAAAGTATAAAGAAACAAACACTGATCCATATTTCTGCTATTCTTACTGAAGCTTCAGTCGTAGGTTCCAACTTGTGACATCTTGTCCATGAATTCTGTTTATCACCTTGTTTTAATCAACAGCTTAGGCTTTTATTAATAATTGTTTAACTGAGCAAAGTAGTTCAGTAGATTGACCAAGAAACCAAATATACATCATAAATACCCTTTATTATCAATGTCAAAGCAAATGAGATTTTTTGCAGAATAACCTTTTTTCTTTATCTCAACTTTTTGACTTTTCACTGTCTAAATCTAATCAGAGTTTTAATGTTTAAATTTATTCAGAAATCAACTAAAATTACAAATAAAAATAAAATAATTGAGCAAAGGATTTCAACTTCTCTCATGAAAACTTCACCACCATTCAAGACGCAGCATTTTTATTAGAAGACCACATCCAGTACAAAGTACAAATGCAGAACCTCCCAGTCCTATTGAAAAGCACTGCAATGGGATTGCATGGGCACCCTATGAATAAAAATGCAATGTGTGCAAGTCACCAACATTTATGGTGTCACAACTTTCTGTAAAGTAATTCAGTACAATAGAAATAAATACCCGATGATGTATTTTACTAATTTCAAAAAAAAGATACTAATGCTAAATATTAAGGTGTAAAAAGTAAACGTTAAACATTTTTCCCCAAACGGTCATCAAGTGTTTCGCATCATTTTACAATCTTCATTTGATAAGCAGCAGTTAAAGCTCTATTTGTTGTTTCAAATGGTTCATTCTTCTGTTAACTTTCAGGTTCCCCTTATTATTATAGTGCCGCATCGAGAGGCTCCGCCCCTCCCACTGCTGCCACTGCCTATGACCGTCACTAGTTACCATGGAAACCAAATCAACCTGCAGGACCATGGCCTCAGCCTCCATATTGCCCCGGTGTGAACAACACGGTCCACTGGACTCTGAGCAGCAACAACAAAAAAAAGTTCACAGCTCACTCACACAGAAAACAACAACAACAACAACAACAACAAAAAGAAACATTGAGTTTTGGGGACTTAAGACAACTGCTGTTCTGTCTGATTGCATTTTTTTTTTAGACATTCAAAGCCAAAACAATATAACTCAACGACGTCACGATGGACACTGAATATTTTTTTTCCACCGTCATATCTGAAGTGGTCTTAGAAGAATAAAAGGCAAAGCAGAGCACCCAGGATTTATCTCCCCCCCCTCCTGCAGTGTCACACTTTTATCCCACGGCGAATCAATACTGTACATTCCTCCTCTCCATGGGTCTCAGAAGGGACACTGTCCAGAGCTCAAGATGTATCAGCGGTTGTTATTTTTTTTCCTTCATTCTTCCATTTTTCGCCCATTTGGTTCAAATTGCAGCGCAGAAGTAAGGCGGGGAGATTAGCAGCAACACACCGGGCTGTTGATTTCATCCACTGGAGCGGGCGCCGGCCAAACCTTCAGCATGAATAAATCGATCGCTTTTGATGCCATGAGAAGATTAGGACATGCCCTCTGTGATACACAATCAAGATGTAAAGATTTAAAAATGAAATAAAGAAACATCCGTTGGAAAACACAAGGGGCCATGCTTACTATAGCGCCATGGCTTCTTGTTTGCAAGTAAATATATTCTTAATATGTTTTTTATTTCATTTTTATAATTTGTAACGACTTAATGGCAGACTGCTTGGCTAGTGTTTGACTAGTTGTTTTTGTTGGCAGGATTTTAAAGTTAATCAGGCAAAACTTTTGAGTGTATTTTTTTTAATTATTTTGGGGTTAATTTTGCACTAGATTTGGTGGTTTTTAACACTGGAGCGTTATTATGCAGAAGAAAATGTGCTTTTTTTTGCTTTATTTTACAAGAACTGACTGTAAATCTAATAATCTCAGTCTGAAAAGGCACTTACAGTTTTACAGTTGTAATCCATGGTCCTTCATGTCACCGACTTGACGTGCACTACCCTGTTTTATGTTCCCACGGCCTACATTTCTGTTCGTTCGTTAAGTCTTTGGCATTCAAACAAACACACACACACAAAGGATTTAATAGCCATCCAAGTCAAACCACTATCACCATTTGTCTAATTAAGAAGATTCGCTCTGATTTGATGATACAAGAGTTTTCAGCTAAATGCCTTAAACATCTTAAACATGTTCCCTGGCAACTTTAGCTCACGTGATTCAGGCCAAGTCGTTTCTTTGAATAAAACTGGAATGAGTTTTTTCATCTGTCAAGTGAATGTATTTGCGTTTGCCAAAGACTTAGTTTTTATTAATGTTTATTTACAGGCTGCCAATATGCATCATGAACAGTATTATTATTATTATTATTATATTATAATTATTATTATTTGCCCATAATGTTCATGAGAGGAAGTATATGTATAAATTCTATGCAGTGCAGAGATGGTCATCATATGCATATTCAGCTGTAAACCTAAAGGTAGGCGGAGTTTATTTAATGTTATGTTATTTACAAATTGTTCATTTTGTAAAGCATTTTTATTTTGTTTGTTTTGTTGGTTGTTTGCGTGTGTGTGTGTGTGTGTGTGTATGTGTGTGTGTGTGATTTGAAGACACTTCTCTGTAAATACAGCAAGGAAAAAATGTCTTTCATGTTCATGAGTATTATCACTTTCATTATGCTGGTATCACTTGTACAATAATAAAAGTGTCTGAAATCTTTTATGCAAAAAGGTCTGTATGTGTCTGACTGGAGCGATGATGTCAGAGTCAACGTTTCTAAAAAGAGATTCATTATAAAAATATTTATTTACAGGATTACTAATTGGAACTAACATGCATACAATCAAAATTATTTAAATATATATTAATCCCTATGGGGAAATACTGTGCAATAAGAGTAAAATAAAGAAAAGAGTAAATAAAAATAAAATTAAACAGCAATGACTCAACACAAAAGTTCTATAAATTGCACCTTTTACAATTTATATGAAATATATTTTGAAAAAAATATATTTTGTATGACAAATTTTGGAATAAAATTTTAAATTTTCACAATAATAATAATGGAATCGTTTAAGTTGTAACCATTAGTGTCACCATTTGATGTTAAGTCCTGTTTCAGTAGAATTTAAACATATTGTGTTAGAATAACACTTTTTGCTAAACTTCTATGTCTGAATTTTTATCAGCATTTACTTAAAAAGGTTCAAGCAAGGTATAAATAACATAAAAACTTGGACTTTACAGGAATACTATTTATTTAAAACTGCATAAAAAAATCCCTTCATACCTCAGGTGTTAGCAATTTCTAAAAGTTGTTTTACATATTGAAAGTTGATTTCTTTACATTTTGGGGGTATAATAAGTAATTTAAAAAATGATTTAGTAATTAAAACTGATTTATAGTTAAAATGACACATTATTGTTGTTACAGTGTATAATTTAAATTATTTAAAACTTGTTATTCAAACATAAAAAACTAAATTCCTTAAATAAAAACACAAAACTTAAAGCAAAAAATAATAGTATAAACAGGACATTCATTATTTGGTTGGAAAAAATAATTATAGTTCAAACTGTTGATGCTTAACTGACAATGAAGATGCATTTGAGGCGTTTATCACGTTTTCAGAAATAAACTTTAAATATTTCCCACTGCCTTTAATTATTTCTGTAATCATTAATTCTTACGCATTTAATAGAGAACGGGTGTATTTGGTAAACCAAAAAGTTCAGTTGACCCAAAATACTTATGAAGCCCTTTTATAAAAATACATTTTTTTAATCTCTTTGCAAGTGACAACCCCTCGCTGAAAAATGCAGTTAAGCCAACAATAAATAAACAGCAGCGTTATTGCTTCAAACAACATTAAAGCGAATAAGCTGCTCTTAAATAAAATATAAAAATACAGCGTGGCATCTAATCGAGGAGACATCTTCAAGATGAAAAAAACAAGCGTCTCAAAATCAAAGAACGGTTTGAAGATATGTTTATGTTTCGGGAATAAAGATCACAAAAGTGGAGACCTGCAGACTGAGAATGCCTCTGAATGTTTTCTCCATGATGTGGATCACTGAGCAGCACATAAAGTGTTTAACCTCTCCTCGCTGTGTAAAGCTGAATTAATTTTTCTTGCAGTGTGCCTGAATTCAATTTGTGCTAAGTTGCAGGGAGAGATTTATGCATAGAATCCCTCTCAGAGCTTCTTTTGCACTCTTTCTTTGCTTCGTAATCCCTTGCCACTGCCGCCTTGTATGACTTAGTTATATCATTATTGATTTATGACGAGTGGACACTGGTTTGATTAGAGCGCGGCGATTTGCAAAGGATTTGGGCAGCATGTACATTTGAATTACTGTAGCTGAAAGTGGGATTGCATAATAAAGTGCTTAAACAGTTTTGGATTCACAGACTGTTTGCAAGCTTGATTAAATGGGAGAAAAGTGAGTTTTGGTTTGAAACAAATGGATTTGTTATATTATCTGTTGCATCTTGTCAAGTTGCCGCTTTCGCCTTCTTTAAAATTCAGATTTTCTACCTTTTGCTTATTTCATAGCACTCATATAAAGCATCAAAGCTGACGTTCTGTCAGTTTCAAACTGTTAAAGAGGGAGGATGGGACAAGAAAATAGAGCTCAACTCTATATATCTGCAGCTGACAATTCCCAGAAGTGGAATTATTCTGTTTAGAGGGACACTTTGTGTCACTTTCCTGTCCAAATTGGCATCTCTGGCTCTCTCTTCTGAATCCAATAAAGTGGGAACCTGAATGCATCCGTCAATCAAGCTCAACCTGACGGCAGCCGGCCAGATGACAACAGTCTCCTCTGGTTTATGAACATACAAATGTATCACCATTTACGCAAACATCGGAATGATGGGATTAGCTGTAATCAGCAACTTTCACAGCGTTTGCTCATTAAACGTTTAGTTCAAAAATAACTGTTGTTGGTTAAGACTGATGCAGCTTTGTGGGTTTTTTTCTTTAAAAACCAAAAAGTAAAACTGAACTCAGTTGAAGATTAAAAAGGATGATTTTTATCCAAACAAAAACTAGGCCAGTAATCTAATGCTACAGTGCTGAAATCTTGATTTATAGTATTAAGACAAAAAAAAAATCCTTTAAAAGAAATTTGTTTATTTTACCATCTTACTTTTCGTAACTGTATCGTTTTCTGTCAAGCTTTAGAGCTCTAGAGATTGATGATTTACTTCTGATCAGATTCACAGTAATTACATTTATTTGTAGAACTCGTACATATTGCAGCTGAGGAAATCAAATCATGACTAAAAGTTGGACAAGATGAGACACTCACAGAAGGAAGTATATTAATATTTATATGAGGCAACATATTTGTCAAAAACGGTCAGAATTAAAGTTTTATGCATTTCACATCAATGACATCTTCTTTTGTATTTCCAGTAGTGCCACCAAGGGGGGCTGGCAGGGGGCCAAGGGTACCCCCCCCCCACACACACACACACACACACACACAAACAGAAAAAAAATTGGTCTCCACTCTCCCCCACCAAACTCATTTAGCCCAATATTTTTATCTTCCTGGGTCCTGAGTTTTTGTTTGGTGTGCTTTTTTAAAAATTTTATAATTTTATTTGGGATTAGGACTCTAAATAAATAAATCTTTTTACACATAATATGCAAATATAAATAAATGTGTTTTTTTTTTTAATAAACAAAACTTATAAGATCTTCCTGCATAAGGACAATATGTTTAAGTTAAACAGAATAAAATGTGATGAAACAACTGCAAAAATGTCCCAGTCTTGGGACTACTGTATATGCACAATATATATTTTTATAAATATAAGACAGACAATAAGTTTCAGTAAGTCGAGAAGTGATTGTGCTGTTCTCCATTAGTAATTAAAGCAGGCCTGTAGCAGAAGTGATTCCCAAACTCCCTCATTGCAGCTTTTTTCAAATAGCCTAAATATGACAACATTTTAATAAAACTTTTATTTTGGTGGGCCACGCCAATATTATCAGTGGCACCCTTTGAAATCCTGCACGGC